AATGTTAATTCCGGATAGTCAAACTTAGCGTTTAAATGTTAAAAGGGCTTGCCATAGTGGAGCCGTGACTTTGAAATGGGTTTCTACTTTTAGTGTTGCTGAACAATTGTATAACGTGACAGGAAAGCCACGTGGTTAACTCTGTGCAGGGTGAATGTTGTACTGAAATGTGTCAGTAAAAGGACACAGATGAAAACATAAGGATGTCTTCTGACCCCTTCTTGCAGTGTGTTGTTGTATATTTGCATTTGCAAGTTTTTGAATATATAAAAAAAACATATTTTTGAAATGTGGTGTACAATATAAACACAATACTTACATGTTTGAATGAATTATGTAACTTATTTTGATCATAAGCTCTAAGAGAAATGATTAAAATCACATTTTGAGCAGGACATTTATTAAACTATTCTGCACCGTTTATCTACAGACAGACAATGATTTTATAGGAATTAAATACATTTTTATACAGTTTTAGGATTTCTGTTATATAAAATGTGATGGAACAAGAGCAGAGAGTGCAAAACTGAAGAGAAATTGTTTATTTTGTCCATTTATTTATACTAAATCTTTTCAGCTGTTTCTTATAAGCTTTAGGTCACCAAGTGACTCAACATGTAGTTTACAAAATAAAACTGAATGTATGAAAATCCTGTAATAAATACAATGATAATGGAAGAAATAAAGATAATTGATCTGTGTCATAATATAATATTGTCCTTTATGATGCCTTTGACTAGTTACCTGCACAGTAACAGTTAATTGTCTGTTTCCTCGTGCTTCAGGGGCTGCAGGTCACTCTCTGCCCGCCTGCCACCAGCAACTGGAGTTCAGGTGTAGCGATGGTTCGTGCATCCCGAGACTGAGCGTGTGTGACGGACACGAACACTGTGAGGACGGATCAGATGAGCACCGCTGTGGTGAGTCCAATGTCAACACCACGTGATCCCAAAAACCATGCAAACACACACACACACACAAACACACACACACAAACACACACATGCACACTGGTTTGGGTTTCACAAGCTCTTTTTTCAACAGCATGAACCGAAGAATGAAAACAAAAGTGGAATTTCTTGACTTTCTTATTTCACACATTTCAACAAGTGCTTTATGTAAGACACAGATGAGATAAAATAAACACAAGGCAGTGTAAAAAGATAGGGGTTAAAGAGTAAAATAAGGTAAAAATAAGTTAAAACATTGAACAGAAGAATAAATAATACATCACAGTTTCAAAAAGGAAGCGTTAAACAGAAAGGAGTTGGAGAGTTGGAGAAGGCCTCAGGTTCTCTGGATGTTTGTTTCAGATTTGTGGTGCATGAAAACTGAATGATGCCAAACATGTAAACATCAAACTAAATCCATTAACTAAGTAGCCCCTGCAGCATTTTCCTCTATATGTGAGGTAGTTGATTGGTTTGACAATAATTAAGGTAAATGCAAGACTGACACCATCCAGTCGTGACGTACAGCTGAGGCCAGACACCAAGATGTCTGACAGAAACAGAAATATGGAGCACCGCATGATGACTTTTGTGTCATGACGATGCACACACACTGTCCACACTGGCTGCAGGATGTGGATCAAGGTGATTATCTGGGATAATCAGTGGCATCACCAATAACAAACGGTGTCAAAGTCTAAGAAGTTCAGAGTCACTTATTATTGTGACGGCGTGTGACCTTGGACCCACACTTGTCCTTTTCAACAATCAGTATTGTGTGATAAAGTCTTACTGCTGATTATAAAGTACGTTAAAGCAGAGTTTTGTTTTGTTCTGCTGGTTTTTGGACTCTTATTTTATATATTGGTCTATTTTAAAGCAGAAACTCCTGAATTATCTTTACAAAGCTTTGATTTTAAACTAATGTTAATAAACCTTGATGTACCACAAACACTCCTTTTAAACTTATTGACCCTGGGCGTACAGTATATTGATCTACTTTCTTTAAGTTCATTCCTGTGCTTCTTTTCTTGCTCTCTTTGGGAAAATCTGTGGGGGGGGAAATAACATTGCGGATTTGTCTTATAATCCTGATCAAGTCATTAGTGACTTTGATATTGAATTCCACAGGGATTTGGTGTTCAGTGCGAAACACAAGCTCCACAACGTTGGCAAAGGGAAAAAAAACCAGTAAAAAAAGTATTTTAGAAGGGTTTAATGTGATTGGAGGCGTTAAACATAAACATTGTTGATGTGTGTAATGCCAGCAGCCATGAATGAAGGAAGTGTTGCTCAGAGGTTAGAGAGACTTAGACTTTGACCTGAAAGTCTCTGGTTTCAGGAAAAATGCCAGGAAAAATGTAGAAAGTGAACAAGATTTACTTTGTCCCACTCACTTTCTCCACTCAACACCCACCAATACTGCTTTAACTGCTTCAGTAACTCTGAGTGTTATTTGCAAATTTAGTAATTTTGCAGGACAATATTGGATTTTTATATAATTTCTGCTCCAATGTGATGAAATATCTTAGTTTGTCAGGTTGTGATTTGCTGGATTAGTCGTAAAATTCCTGTCTAAAGTTTTATCAGTTAATTTTCACCATGTCACAATATATATTAATATTAAAACTGCATATAACATGATAGAGTATTTTTTATACTGCTGACATTAAGCCCAGCTGAAGATCTGGGTGGATGTGGACTAGAGTGGGATTGCTTATCGACCCATTAGACAGCTGGGTCTGATAAAAACTTCCATTGTAATGTGTTCACAAATATATAATCTAATTGCGTAGTCTGCCCACATAGATTCTCCCCAAAAGGCTTATTTTTCTTCAATTAAGGTCACTAATAATATTTAATATTTGTTGCTCTCTTGAGTTGCCTTGAAACTACATTTAGAGATTGATTACAAACTCAACCTGAAGATGTGGAGAACTCAGTTATTGTTATCGGTCTTAAATAAGCTGATATGTCAAATGTTGTCAAAGTCTTTTGAGATTCTGAACATCTATACTGACTTAATTACTGCTTTAACTTGTAACTGTGACTCTTCACAGATCATCCGTGGTGTAAGAAAGACGAATTTGCCTGCCGCAGCAGACGGTGCATATCTCTGCATTTCCTTTGCGATGGCGTGGACAATTGTGGTGACGGGAGTGACGAGGCCTCCTGCCGGAACTGCACCGCTGCCGGCCTCTTCTCCTGCGGGCTGTCTGACGCCTGCCTTCCTCGAAACAAGCTGTGCGACGGACGAACTGACTGCAAAGACGGGTTGGACGAGTCTCTGGAGTTGTGTGGTTGGTCTCAGCCACGTCCGCAGACCTCTCCCGCATGTACGCCATCTGAGTTTCAGTGTGGTGACGGGCAGTGCATCCGCCACACCTGGAGGTGTGACCACACAACGGACTGCTCTGATGGCAGCGACGAGAACAACTGTGGTGAGTAGGACGCCTTCGAAAGCAAAAGGAAAGTGAGCCACTTCAAGAGTCAAGTACAACGTTATGCAGAGAGCCCTGTCCACATTCTTTGTCGTTCCATGGTTTGGGCTGTTGGTTCCAGTAAGGGAGATCTTATAGATATTTTACACAACATGTGCTTCCAACTTTGTGGCAGCAGTTTGGGGAAGGCCCTTCATTTCTTTTCAGCATGACATTGTTACTCTGTGGTATGGAAGAATTTTACTGGCGTGGGTGAGTCCTGATCTACACCCAATCCAACACCTAAAGGCAGGAGTATCCTCAAAACTAACTAGTTTGTACAACACGTCATCCAATCACGTCTGAAGTGTTTAAAATGGCTCTGAACAGCCACACTCAAAGCTGGAGTGAAAAAAAGATAATGGGGACCACAAGTAGTCACGTGAAGAACGAGACTTACTGTTTACTGTCTCACCTCTCACCAAATTGTTGGACACAACCCCAGTTCTGACGTTGTGGAGGTGGAGTGCGTTTCAGATGCTGTCCGACCTTCCAACAAGCACTTCTGTTGATACCGACGCCTTCAATGTTGCTGTGGCTGAATGGGAATAAATCCCTGCAGCCAGACTCCAAAATCCGGCGAAGGCCTTTCCAGAAGTGAAGGCTATTATAGCAGCAAAATAATGGTTTTAGATTGAGATGTTCATGAACCACATACTTGTTAATGGGTGCCCACATATAGTACTTTGTTGCTGATGCAGTCCTATACAGCAGAGGGCAGTATAGGACTGCCCTTTAT